TGTAAATAGTTTTCAATTGTTTATTTGCATATAGTTTTCAGATAAATGTTACTATTATATGACATGTATTCTAGTACCACATCTGGAGTCAATGCCATATGAAAATTCTTTTTTCTCAGTAGAAAGACTATATAGATTTTGTGCTTGGGGTCCACAGAAATTCAGTTGGTCTTCCCTCACTACTCTTCTTTTGTTCACTTCCTGCCATCAACTGCATCATGATAGGTAAATGGAAATTTCTGCATTGTGTTCAATTTAATTACATGATCTAGAGGATGGAAGGAGTGGTCAGTAATCAGTTAACACACCACATCTAAACCAACAAACTCTGTTTGACATCCATGGATGTTATTGAAGTCTTAGCAAAGCCTTCATTCTCTATTGTCTTTCTTCCTTTCCCCAAATCCCCATTTCTGTTTTCTCATCACATGTACTACATTCCACCTTTTTGCCTTCTCCTGAGTGATGGTGTTAGATTTGAACTGATAAAAAAAAAAGTATGAGAATGTGATAATAAAATTCAATACTTTGTATGCTAATTTAAAAAATAAATTAAAAAAAAGCATGTGGCCTAGACTGTCTTGATAGTATATGCCTTTAATCCCAGCATTGGGGAAGTAGAGGTAGGCAGATCCTGTTGTGGAATATTTAACGATGTAAGGTCATGTTACTTTTGTTTATGCTGCCTTTGTTAATGATGCAAAGATGTGTTGCATTTGTTTCTGCTGCAGTTGTTTAATTATGTAAAGGTGTTGCTATTTCACCTTGCCTGCCTGCCTTCACCTTTCACCTGATTGGTCTAATAGAAAGCTGAATGGTCAATAGCTAGGCAATAAATGGACAGGCAGGACTGGCGGTCAGAGAGAATAAGTAGGAGGAGAATAAGAAGGGAAGAAGGAGAGGAGAGAGTGAGGGAGAAAAAGAGGGACATACCCATGGCCGGAAGCCAGCCAGCTGCCAGCCAGCTAGATATGGAGACATCAGGAAACTAAAAAAAAATACAGAAAGAAAGAAAGGTAAAAAGCCTGGAGGCAAAACATAGATGAGAAACAGGACAAAATAAGTTACAAGAGCTAGTAAGAAACAAACCTAAGCGAAGGCTGAGCATTTATAACTAATAATAATTCTCTGTGTCATGATTTGGGAGCTGGTTGGTTGCCCAAAAGAAAGTCTGCTACAAGATCCTGTGAGTTTGATGCCAGCCTGTTTTATTCTATGGAGTGAGTTCCAGGGCATTTATCTCACATAGTGAAACACTGTTTCACATAAAAAAGGAAGTTTTCATAGCAATTGATTTGATTGTCCACCGGTACAGACTTTCTATTCCAATGATGGCCAACTTTGAGTAAACTTGGTCATTATCTATATAGAATCGGTCATAGCTAGGGTTTCTATTGCTGCAAAAAAAACCTCACCATGAACAAAAAGCAAGTTGGGGAGAAAAGGCTTTATACAGCTTACACTTCCATATTGCTGTTCATTATTGAAGGAAGCCAGGACAGGAACTCAAACGGGGCAGGATCCTGGAGTCAGAAACTGATGCAGAAACCATGGAGGGGTACTGCTTACTGGCTTGCTTTTCCCAGCTTGGTAATTCTGCTTTCTGCTGCCAAAAAGAGAAACCCTATAAATTTACACACACACACACACACACACACACACACACACACACACACACACACACATAATTAAGAAACTTAAAAGTGCATGAATTAGGGAAGAGGAATTAAGCAAGTCAAATGTAATTTATATGGAGTGTTTTATATACCTAGTTGTGTACAAAAATACTTTTCAGAAAGAGCAATAACAAAAAATATCTTTCTTATACATTTTATAGGAAACTCATTAAAATTAATAACTCATTTATTTAACAAAAGAAAATTTCTAATCCTGTCTGAAATAGAGATAAAGTATTGACAATATAAGAAACAATGTTTAATGAAAGTCAGAGTCCTTTTGGAAAGTGGTTAATAATGTAAAAGCTTATTTGTATGGTTAATACAAAATAAAACTTCATTTTTGGAGATGACAATACCATGGGATGACCACCAAGAATAGCAGCAGTGGGTTCGAACCAGCTGGAGCCTAGAAGACAAAGTATGTATGCTATAGAGGGTAGAGTTGAAAATAATTGGAGGAGCCAAAAGATGATGAGTAAATCTCAGATAATTCCCCTTCCCCAATTCAAGCACTTTTAAGTTTCTTAATTATGTGTGTGTATGTGTGTGTAAATTTACAGGCTTTCTCTTTTTGGCAGCTTGATTATGGATATAGTGCATTTTAATCTTTTCCATTTCCATTATCCTCTCATTACCTCCCAGCTGTGGAAATGCTTATCTTTCTCATAAAATTTACCTCTATTCAAATGTTGAGATAACAAGTTTTTATTCCTGTGAAAATGAACAGAAAATCAAAATAAATCATAAACACCAGAGTGGTATCTATATTCCTACTAGCCAGCCACACTCAAAGTCATAAGTATAGATTGGTTTAATAGTATTTGCCATACCTTGATGTACAAAGTATGGGCAATGTTACACCTAACCCATTATCCACCATGCAGCAGGAGAGAGACAACACTTGTAGGTTCCAAATATTTTAATAATTCACCATATAAGAGGGTTACTGATAGATCAGGGCTCCTGGAAAAGGACTCAGAGCCTCTTTTCTTCTGACAGCCCCAAGGAATGGGCTGGAATGAGACATGATCTGGAAGGATAAGAGAGTTAACATGAGAGGAGATGGGCTGTGGGTGAATGAGATCTGGAGTGCTAAAAGTGTGAGGGAAGCAGGTAAGATCTACTAGTTTGTTTGGTTTTTTTTCTAAGCTAGTTGTGTGTGTGTGTGTGTGTGTGTGTGTGTGTGTGTGTGTGTGTGTGTGTGTGTGTGTTTGGTATAAACACTACTGAGAATAAATCATTATTTAAGGAAATATTTCGTTGTAAATAGAGAACCTGAGAATAGTTTTATCTCAAAGTTTTACATTTTGGTAGTAAAACATCACAGTTTGACATTAGCCTGATCTACAGATCCAGTTTCAGGACAGCTAGGCTCAGGCAGTGAAGGAAATCATGGAAAACAGAAAGCTGAGGAAGATACAGCTGAGTGGGGGGAACATGTTCCAGGCACAGTAAATATTAGAACTTGGAAAGTCCAGTCACATAGGGAAAGAAGAAAGGGGTTATGGAATATTCCTCCATGACTAAAAAAAGCCATGAGACCAGTCATGATTCAGGAATGTCCCTGAATGAAGGTCTAGAGAGACCATTGCATAAAGCTGTGAAGGTAAAGCCTGTGTGGTGGTTTAAAAGAAAATGGCCCCAAAGGGAGTGGCACTATTAGGAGGTGTGGCATTGTTGGAGGAAGTGTGTCACTGTCAGGGTGGGCTTTGAGTTCCCTTTTGCTTATGCTTCCCTCAGTGTGACTGTCAGTTGACTTCCTGTTGCCTGCAAGATGTAGCACTCCAGCTCCAGGACCATGTCTGCCTGCACACTGCCATGCTCCCCTTCATGATCATAATGGACTGAACTTCTGAAACTATAAGCAAGCCATTCTCAGTTAAACTATTTTCTTTGTAAGAGTTGTTTTGGTCATGGTGTGTCTTCAATAGCAAACCCTAACAAAGATAGAAGTTGGTACCAGGGACTGGGGTATTGCTATGATAGACCTTACCATATGTTTGTTTGGAGGAATTTGGACTTTGATACTTTGGGTTTGGAAAGCTATTGAATGCTTTAAGCATTGCTGCTTTGGGATGTCCTTCTGTGTGCTGTGCATAAGTATTGTTCTGATCGGTTGATAAATAAAGCTGCATTGGCCTATGGCAGGGCAGGATGGAGCAAGGCAGGAAAATCCAAGAGAGTCTCAAATCTCATTAAAAATCCCTGAATTGAGCAAGTCTATGGGAAATAATAATAGAAAAAAATATTATTGGCAAAATAGCTCCATAAACCAATAGATTTTTAATCTATATAATCAGCGATCTTGTTAGAAATAAAAATTAGCTCTATGCCTTCTGGATTATTTGAGTACCAAGCCATCTGCATAGAAAAGAAAAGAAAAGTTTTTGAAGACTGCCATGTAATCAATGCCATTTCTTCTTTTCTGCTCACTATGTGACTTAATAAGGATTCATAGCTTGTTAAAAATCATCAACTGTCAACTCTCTTGACTACCAGTACTCACAATATTGTATTTCCACATACCATGTTCTCTATAATATCCTCAGTTCACAGCTGTACCATGTGGCATGGAAGTCTTAAGCATCTACATGAAGTTACATGTGCTGATAGAGTAGGAGCCAGAAAATTTCCAGTACTCTGTTTTATGGAGCAAAAAGCATCAAGCCCCATCCTCAGATTTCCTGAATATGTCTGAAGAAAACATTGTGGATTGATATGCTGTGATGAGCACTAAAAACTTGGATTCACTCCATTAATGACATGGTGGCTCTGAAATCAAGAGCTAGAATTGAAACAGCTAAAGATAATAGATATCCAATTGCCCCCCCCCCCCCCCCCCCCGCTCCCATCGAACTACTACATCAAGCTTGGGCACATGAAACTAATGATTCTTGAACCCACCATGTTAGTATCCAAAGCTGGTGATCAAGTATTTAAAGTGCAAGCTTTAGGAGAGATTATAACATCAAATCATAGCTTGTCCACACCCAGTGCTGTTATCCAGATAGCAGTTTTCTGAATTAAAACAGTTTTTCTTAGGATATACTTAGAAGATCTTTTTACTCTAAAAATAACATGGATAGCACAGCTGGGGTTACTCAAATGTAAAAGAGATTGTTCTTAAGCACATTGTGGGAATTTTTGTTAGGTTAGGGACAGAAGGGTCCTACAGACAGTTTTCCCCATTCCTCTCAACAATGTTCAAAGCCCAGCAGAACTGAAAACCAAAATATTAGCAGGTGCAGATACTAGGAAGGAGCAGCTGGGGCAGCTCAGCCTTCCTGCCTTGACTCTGGGAGGTTTGTGTTATGACTTGTATCACTGTGGGAGAGAGCCCAGATACTGTTGACAGTAGTAAGTAGCAACATCGTCAAGCTGCAGGCTGCTGATGGTGAAGGAGTAATCTGTTCCAGATCCACTGCCACTGAACCTTGATGGGACTCCAGTTTGTAGACTGGATACCTCATAGATTAGTTGCTTAGGTGCATACCCTGGTTTCTGTTGGTACCAGACCAACAACCTATTAATGTTCTGATTGGCATGGCAAGTGATGGTTACTCTGTCTCCAGGAGAAACAGATAGAGTCGGTGGAGACTGGGTCATCTGGATGGCACATTTCACCCCTGAGGTTGGAAACATAGAATAAACATACAGTATGAACCATACCATAACCTAATTCCCATAAGCAGCCAGGCATAACTCATAACATTGGTTACAAAGTTCTCCACTTCTGTCTTCTTTACCTGAAAACCAGAGCAGCAGCAGCAGCAGCCCAAGGAGCTTAGTAAGGACCCTCATGCCCATGATTGCTCACTGAGAATAACTTCTGCACATGGCATTAACACCCTCTGAATAAGTGCTCAGAGCACTGGGCTGTGCTCTGGACACATGCAAATTAGCAATGGTGTGCAGGGCTCAAGCCAGCTGCAGGGTTGGGTGGACTCATCTTACGGACACCTCATAAGGACTAGAGAGGCTCCCAGTATTCAAGATACAGATGAGCAGATTTGCCTTCAGATAACATGTTCCTTTCTGTGGATCAAAGAACATTATCAGTGTAGGATTTTGTAAGTGTCGAGTAGTTTTTATCGCTCTGTGTTGTTCATGTCTTTCCGGGATACATTCCCATTAAGCATGGTGACTTACTTTCTGAAATCATCCCAAACATTTGAAGAAGGCTTATTCATTCATTTTGCTTTTCTTTTTAAAATAGAAAATTATAAAATTTATCATAAAAAATTTGAAGATAAATAACATCACACAACAAAACTAACCAGAATCAGTCTACACAGAATGGAAGTCATGGAGTTTCATGTTAGATTTTATACTTGCAAATGGGTTTTATGCACTTATCTGTCACACACACACACACACACACACACACACACACACACACACACACACACATACACACACAAATCATGCAGAATTAGAAAAACAATTAGCTTTACATTCTTTTTCATGATTTGTGTCCATTTTGCTTATTACAGTTTTGATTATTGATATCACTGATCACAAAAATACATACTTTTTTCTCTGATTCTGATACTTTTGAAGTGAACATGAATAACACTTAAATTTATTTTTGAGTCATGGCTGTAAGGAAGGGGTGGGTCTTTTATCTCCTCATAAGCAATCTTGTGTTCCTCCATTTATCAATGCTCTGCCAAGTTACTTCAATAAAAGCTGTCCACTATCAGGAGTTTTCTCAGTTGCATGAGCTCCCTTCTTGGCTCAGCTTTCATTATACATATTTCATGGTATTCTTTGGATGTCTCCATCTTCCTTTCCTCTCTTCATATAATCCACCATTTTAGAAACTGGAGATACACACTCTAATGCTCATTTTACTCTTAAAAGTTTTCCTTTGTCATGCCGTGCTGCTATGGACTTGGTGATAGGAATTGGCAAGTGTTCTTCACTAGGTACTACCCTTAATTTAGTAAAAAAGAACACCAGGGCACAAGTTCCAGACCACCTAGCAGATAAGCAGTGATAAACTTGAGTGATGCACAGAATCAAGGCACTGTAAATGTTTGGACATAGGGGCTGGGTGGTAGTACTAAGGATAATGGTACTGCAGTCTCTGGAATCCAGGGTACCCACAAGGTATGTTTCTGAGGAGTTAAAACATCCTGTGATACTGAAAAGAATGTTGGAGAGAAAAGGGGTGGTAGTGACATTTGGCTCCCAGCAATTAGCACATGATAAGATGAGAGAATCTAATAAGACAATGGGTGAGGCCACAAACAGTGGTTGCAAGTGTCACCCTGGAGGAACACACAACCAGCATTCTCCAAAGAAGTCAGGCTGAGTGTTATTCAATAGCCAATTTGCAGAAGTTAAGTCTGAAACAAGAGATGGTGTGACATAGAGGTGGGATTAATATCATACAAAAAGGTGATATTAAAGATGTAAGAACCTTCAAGGATCTTTGGACCACATCTTCTACTGTGTCTATACCTAGAGGTTGAGAGAGTGGTATGTGACACTTTGTAATTTGAGTGTGCCTTAAGGGTGGCTGTGATAAATGCTCCAGCAATGCTTACTAATGACTTGTGTAAGTTTAACCTGCAAATAATCATGAACAGAGGAAAAGTTATTTAAAAATGACAGCTTAGGCTTTACAGTTTATGCCGTTCCTTGTAAAGCATGGTGCTAATAGCTGCTTTGCACTTCATCTTCACCCTGAGAATATGAAGGAGCTGTACCAAAAGGAATACCCTATGATCTCAGTAATACTAACCTGTGCCAAATGGGAGGAACTGGGAAACTTGGTTGCAGTTTCTCGGATTGTAACAGGAAGCCAAGGAAACACATTAAATGGGAATGATATCACTGCTACTCACAGACAATGGAAAGACCCTGTTTGTCAGCCAGATGGAACAATGTTCTCTTTGCTGCTGTGGTTGGAGATAGGACACTTAGAGACTGGAGGCTTTTACAGAGATGAGCTACTTGTACACCTGTGATCAGCTCTGCTCAGCTTCTGATGATTTGCATGTGCCCGGAGGACAGCCCACTGACCTGAGTACTTTTTAAAGAGCTGGTCAAGCCCTCCAGAAGAGTAAGTCCAAATCACAACACAGCCTGGACATGAGGATCCCTGCCCATTTCCTGGGGCTGCTGATGTTCTGGCTTCCAAGTAAGGGGGGGCGGTTCTTGGGAAATTTCTCAAAATACTGTGATTAGTGTTGCTTGTCTTTGAAGATAATCCTGTCTTACAAAACATTATTAATTTCATGGCTATTGGCTTTTAATTTTTGAAATTCAGGTGCCAGATGTAACATCCAGGTTACCCAGTCTCCATCCACCCTGTCTGCGTCACTGGGAGAAAGAATCACCATCACTTGTAGAGCAAGTCAGGATGTTAGCAAGTATATGGCTTGGTATCAACAGAAACCAGGGGAAGTTCCTAAACTCCTGATCTATTATGCATCCACTTTGCAATCAGGAGTTCCCACGAGGTTCAGTGGAAGTGGGTCTGGGACAGATTATTCCTTTACCATCAGCAGCCTGGAGCCTGAAGATGTTGCAACTTATTACTGTCAGCAAGGTTATAGCTCATACCACAGTGATACAAATCATGACAAAAACCACCCGTAGAAGCAGAAGTGAGAGTGTAAACCACCCCAGACATTCTTGTTTGTTCTTTGACCTACTGACAGCATTTTTCAGATGCAACCAGGCCCTGAGGGTCACTTGTAGGCTTTTGTGAATGACAAAGGGAGCCTGCTGTGTACCTAACTCTCTACCATATCACCACAATATTAGAGGTTTGACAATGCTTCTCATGAATCCTTAATAACAGAATTTTATGCAGTTGACACATCTAGGTGTGAAATGGGATCCGTAAAGAAAAACAGAAGCCATGTTAAATATTCAAAGAAGCAATTATTTTATTATGGGAAGGTAGACTATTTGGCTTGGGTGCTCTTGAAGTTACTGAAGTAGATATGAAGTAGTCCTATCAGCTGCTCTCTACAGGACTCTCTACCCAGAATGCATAGGCTGTTGAAAAATGCTGACCTCAGACCTGCTCAGAAATCTGGGTCTGTCATTCGGTGTTGACAACAGTAAACATAATATAGTTGCTATTCCTGAATTTTCAGATTATGACAGACAAGGTTTAGATTCATAATACCTGAATGTCTTTGAAGTATTATCAGTAAGTCTAGGATCATAGTCTAAAAAACAGATAAAAAGTAATGAAGTCATATAGTAAGCATAAAAAGGAAATTTGCATGAAATATTTTGCAATGCTAAATAACAGACTAATTAAAAATTACCAAATACAGGTATAACACTAATTTCCATTAATAGATGAAAGTCTTGTTGCTCAAATTTGCTAAATGGGCACTCATGTGCTTCTGAGGCAGAATGCTTGAAAAGTGAAATAATAGTTTTTAATCATAAGTTTATAACAGTTTACATGAACTATTGTTGGTCTATAATTTAACAAAACACCTATCTTAGATTTGTATATTTGGTTTTAAGGGTTTTATACTTTAATCCAAGTGATTGCTATATTTATCATTTAGGAATTTCTCTTAAAGTTGAGCTATGATATGACCAGAAATGCAGTTCTCACTTGAACAATTCAAAATATTTTTGAAACATTGACACTAAACTATGTGATTTTTCAAAACACAGTCATTTTCATGCTACAGACAATTTATTTACTTCATTGATCCCTCACTAATCTCTCCTAAGGGAGAGAAAGGCTTAAAATAGAGGAGAGAGATGGTTTCTTTTAGAGTTATGTACCAACTGTTTCTACCCTGAAGCTAAGGAATGCAGGACTTTGAAAGGATCCAGAGGTATTTTTACACTATACAAAATAAAGGGGGATCCATTATTACATTTTCATAAATGTACATTGTGTACTTTGGTCAAAACATAGTATATTGGTGTATGAAATTCTCAAAACATAATTTTTAAGTGAGACTAAGAGGTTTTAAAGGCTGTGAGGATTCTTTGTCAACAGTGCTACTCACCAAATTATTCACAATCATCTGTGTCTGTGTCCTTTTCCTGCATAATGACAGAGACAAAGCAGGTCTTCCTGTAAAACTATATAACTATCCTCCTACAGGAAGGAACCCTCTGAGCACACACACTTGCAGTACATTCTTTATGAAGTAAAGAGATTTTAATACTATTTTAGGTAAGCAAAACTAAAATTAATAGGAGAAAGGAGAGAGTGGAAAGTGGAAACAGATGAAGTGGCCAAGGAAGAGGGAGAATATAATGTGCATTTAGAATGTTTGACTTTATTGGGTTACTATCTCAGCAGTGTTATCATAGTTTTAGCTCTCATCTGAGGGAGGCTGATTAAACGGTTGCTCCTGGATGCAATCACAAACTTGATGACTAATAGATTTAATGCAGACATGAAAAAAGTATATGTGAGCACGGGGAACAATAAGGTGATGTGGCCACAGAGAAGTGAGAGCTACAGTCTGGAAGATTCAATAATTAATATCTCTCTTAAAACATCACTAGAGCCTCAATATTCACATCCTGAACTTGACTCATTGACCCTGATGCTACAATACTTTCTTTAGAACTGTGAGATATTACACTCCCTTCATTTAAAGTACAAATGTTGACAATTTGTTACAAGAGTCCCTGGACCAACTAATACAAATTTGACTCAGATAACAAAATGTGTTAAAGCTTCTCTGCCTCATTTAATCTCTTGGTTCAATTCTCCAGTGTTCTATATGAAGAAATTGAAGATGTTTATGATTTACAAAGAAAGCACATTGATTCCCTTAGTGTATCATGAAGCTCATGATGGCTGTGTAATACATATTGATGACTGTTGTGCCCAGATTTTCTTAACCCTGCTAATTTGCAAGAGTCCATTGCACACTCCACTTCATGAGCAATTATTGAATAAGCTGATCACAACCTATGCAGGTATCAGTTACAATCAAGACACAGCTTGCATATGAGTCTTTCCATTCACTTACAGGAGTTGCTGATGCTCTGAGTCTAGGTGAGAAATAGTAATTCTGGGGATTTATCCAATTATAATGGTCACTGATGGTTATTTTAGGAAAATCCTCTAATATTATTGTTTATTGTATGGGTAGTTGTAGAATCAAACAAGTCGGTAGAATGTGCCTATAAACCTGATCTCCCAAGATTTAAAGTAGGAGTCTGGCCTTCATTCCCATCTCAGGTTGAAAAACCTGGATCCACTTCACAGGGAGAGAAGGTCAAGTCATTTTAAAAGCCAAAAAGTCTTTTCCTCCCCACCAGAAAGCTGGCACCAACATATGTTTTTAACTGACAGCCTATCAGCTGATAAATTAAGGATTGTGCCACGTCTGCTGTTGTGGTCCCCCTGCATGGGGACTCTTTGATATTTGAACTAATAACTCCTGCCTACCCACAATCTGACCTGTGTATGAAAGTTAGATATGTTTTGCTTGTTCCTATGTCTTCAAGCTGTATGTAAACTAGCCTGTTACCTCAGTAAAAAGCTGCCCTGGATTTAGACTTCCCATGGGTTCTAAGTATGTACTCACAGACATCTGACACTAATCTCTGTTCTCCCCTGGGTCCTAAGACTGACAGTGTGCCATGGACTCTTGTGGCTTGGGGAAGGATAACAATTGTGTTTGTACTTAATTTTCCAATCTAAGGACCTAGATGTGACATCTTGATGACTCAGTCTCCATCCTTCCTGTTGGCATCTCTTGGACAGAGTCACCATCGCATGCCAGGCAAATCAGGATATTAACAGTTACTTCTACTACCAACAGAAGAAATCAGGAAAAGTTCCAAAAAATCACGATCTGTGAGTCATTCCATTTGCCATCTTGGGTTCCCATCAGGATTCAGTGGCAATAAATCTAGGATGAATTCCACCTTCACCTTCAGAGCCTGTTGTTTGCAGATGTTGTAGGTTATTACTGTCAACAAATGTATGATATCCCTCCCATAGTGATTCATACCATAACATAAACCCCTCTGGCAAGAAGAGTAAGGCCAGGCTGTTCCAGGTTTTTCTTCTGTTGCCTTGGCTTGCTGACAACATCTCTTATATGTGGTTATATTTTGAAGATCCCTGGGAAGTTTTGGTGAAAGCGCCCCAAGAGACTAAAGCTTACTTAAATGTGCATACTGAAACCTCAACCCACAATGAACATATACAAAAATGTCTCTAATGATTATCAATGAAGAAAAATTATTGCACCTGAAGTATCTGCATGAGCATGCGCTGTGTTATATACAGGAAAACAAAAACCACACACACTAAATGTGTGTTTGTGTGTGTGTGTGTGTGTGTGTGTGTGTGTGTGTGTGTGTGTGTGTGTGTGTGTGTATAGTCATGTAGCGATCATTTCAATACATGCAATAGGAGTCTGAGTAATACCTATGAATTTACTAGCAAGCTGATAGTATTGTGAACATTTCTACTTGAAACATTGGATTTTCTGGTGCTGTTCTGAACTCAGAGCTCCCTGCCTTGAAAGTACAGGCCACCTAACCATGCTGTCTTTAGACCTCCTCAGGCAGCCAATCATTGTTCCTGAGTACTGACAATAAAAGCCAATTGCAGTTACTCTCATGAACTTATAAGAATGTTGATTCTTGGGGGCACATATATATCATGTATATGCAAACTTTGAGGTATCCTCAGCAAGTTTCAAGTCAATAAAAAGTGACACTTCATGGGGTCATAGAGTGGATTGAAAATGAACAATTTCATTAATTACTCAGGAGTCTTTGGGGAAGTTAATGAATAGATTGATCATAGAAAAATGAGGATATATTGTATTTCTCTTAAAGGAGGGCTATTTTATTGTGATCTATGTTGTAACAACATATCAATGATTTTATTCAGAATTGAAGTGACAGATACACTGCAACAGACCAGAAGTCCCTTCATGAAATTTCCTCAAGAGATAATTCAGTTTTCATACTTAGGCTTTATTCAATGAACAAATCCTTCCTCCATGATATATCTGATTACAATCATAGCCATGGTAGATCAAACATATGCATAAGATAATAAGCACAAGGTTTTACATAAAGTGTTATTTTAAGGATACTGTTAACTGCACAAAGTCAGTTGTAGGCTAAATTGGTTGACTACCCCTACTTTATTACATCTCTCTGGGTGGATATGGCCATGCCAGAGTCTGCCTGAAGTCATTGGAATGGCCCAATTTCTTGGTTGGAGAGTGGTGTACATGTAGATTGATGACATTGCTGTCCCATTTCCAGTTAGCTTTCTTCCTTTTTATGCCTCCTACTTTCAGATAAGGACATAAGCACTTAGCTGTTACTCCAGGGCCATGCCTGCCTGCTTCTTGCCTGCTTCCCACCATGTTTGTAATGGATCTACCTTCCAGAACAGTAATCCCCCAAATTAAATGCTTTCTTTTATAAATTGCCTTGGTTGTGGTGTTTTGTCACAGCAATAGAAAAGTAGCTAAGACACTTGCCTCCATAGTAAGAAGAGAAATGAACAAACACTTAATGGAGGAAAGGCACCATTCATTCTTGCATATAATATGAGAGCTGAGAAGCTATCTGAGGATCCTTTGGTCAGAAAGACTTACTTTCAGTAAAAAAAAAAATGGATT